TGATATGCTATTCCGAACTACAAACTGATATTAAATTCCATTTAACTGAGCGGAAAATTGTAAATTAGCTGGAAATGAATTTAGGGGTTTTTGATAAGCTAACAGAGGAAGGTGTCTCGTAGATTGCATCAAACTTAACGTCATGTTTAATCCAAACAGCTACCGAACAACAATATTCAGCTGTCGTCTTCCGATTAGCTCGATGACGATGCTTTCATACGAAATAAAAGTTGTCACAACTTTATTTGCATGTAGTTTTATTATATTAGAAATGCTTTTATAGCACGCATCATTGGTTCTCACTTTTCTGTATGCAAGTTTTAAAAAAACGATTTTGTATTTTCTGACCATGTATAGTTGACCATGCCAGAATATATACTGTATTCATAAGGCCTTATACTCAGATCTCATTTGCGAGCTTATAGTCTTATTGTTTTTACGGGTATTTGTTGTATTTATTTACTGACCATTATTCATTATTAATTCTCTTTATTTCTATTTTATAGTCCATTTTTAACATCTTGCTTTGCTTTTCGCTTTCTTGTCTTCAGAGTCTTGATTTGCGCGGGGTTACTTATCGTATAGGTGACTATGCTTATTTCAGGCCTTCTCTATCAGAGGTAACCCAGTACCAAATCGGCCGTATTACCAGGATATCAAGAGTTCCTCCAAAGTTGAGTGATGACACTGTCTCTGCTTCTAGTTCGTTTACTGCTCCTAAACAAAAGATATTAGACTGTGGAACTTCTGACATTAACTTTTCTTCTATTGAAGAGCCTATTGATTCGAGTCCAGGCAAAGCACTAGATTCCGAATCCCAGACTAATAACTTACCCCGACCTGTTAATCAAGAATCAGTCTCCACTGAAACCAGGGTTGGTTCGGGTGAAAGTTGCGACGCCGGCATCGCGGAGTCTACCCACCGAGAAGCAACAGAATCCGGTGGTCAGGTAGTAGAACGAGAACAATCTGGTTCATCTGTTAGCCCAACTGCTGGTATCCCATCAGAAGCAATAATTGCCTCCCAGGGAGTTGTTACAGAGGCATCAGCGAAAGAAAATGAGCAGGGTGAGATTCAAGTGCGCCTTTCGCTTTACTGGCGGCCAAGCGAAGCCAAACCT